TCCCTCCTTAGCCGGCGTCGCGGCAAAAATACTCTTTCCAATAGTTGGAAGGATTGTCTGAACTCTCCTTCGCTACAACCCTTCGAGAATGTTTGGTAAGTTGATCGGTCAATGGAAGCAGGGACAACAGCATGGGGGGATCTCACTAGTGGACCGTACCTGGTCGGTCGAGAGGGGAGAGACGAATTTGTCTGGATAAAATTTAGCCCGAGCAAGTGGCAGGGAAGTCGGGGAAAACTTAGGAAGAAGGAAGGTAAGATAGGGAGGGGGTCGCACCAGATGAGGGAGTCTTGAAAGAAGGTGAATCGTACAAGATGAAGAACTTTCGTAGGGGGTCGTACTGACATCGCCCATCACATATCACGATTCGGTACAGTGTGGGAGTGGTCGCACCAAAGAATAAAATTTCCTAGTGGGACGTGCTCTGCTGCTATTTCGCTATTTCCTTCTCTAAAAGATGCATCGGAATTCAACAGGAGACAAGTCGAAAAGGAACGAAAAATGTTCAATGTCAACAGTTAGCGCTTACGACAGGAACCAATCAATTCGGGTCGCTTGCAGGCACAATGATACTCCCCCCTACCCACCCGGGTTAGCCCGTCTCCAATTAATATTATCTGAGACAACTTGTAAGCGACAATTTCGGACAACTGACCTGTACCATATCATACAGGTTTTTGGAGTATATATTCTTTATTTAATGGCATTAATGCACAAAAACTATTACAAAAGAGCATGCATGAATCTCAAAAGAAGGAACACTTCTCTAAATGAATAGATCACCTACAACCCTGGACAACAGTTAAAATCCACCTCATGAGGAATGCAACAGTATCAACAATTGACACAAATCATGCAGTTGAGAAATAATATAACTGAATAGATTGGTTTCTGGCTCATTGGTTTCTCCTGACTATATAATAGCACCGTATACCAATTAAAATCAAGGTAAGGCACAGTCTGGCGACGTGGAGAGGGGGAGGGGGCATTTTTCACTTTTGCTACTTCCCAACGGCTAATGCCGTTTGGACTTCAGAACCGAGCTCATTTTTAAATTGCCTAAGTTACCAAATCCGCTAAAAACTTGTATATAGGGGTAGTTTAACATCCTGATTACGAATATGACATTCACAGAGGGCTTGTCTTTGGCACTATGGATGACATACGATTATCTGCGCTCTGCTAAGGGCTGAGCTCAAGGATGTAATACGTAGTGTCCTCTGTCTTGGCGCCCAGCGACAACGAGTGAACGTCGAGTGGAGGTGCGTGAGAGTGCGGAGGGATGTTAAACTACCCCTATATACAAGTTTTTAGCGGATTTGACGACTTAGGCAATTTAGAAATGGGCTCGGTGTCGAAATCTCTGGAGCCCGCGAACCAGGCATTAGCCGCTTCCCAACGACGAGAACGACGTCGCCAAAACTGCCGCCCGAAAAAACATCAATTCAAGGGCAAGAGTCTCATCAGTTGTTCTATATTCTCCTTCACAATCAAGAGGGTATCAATACCAGACTGGCAGCTATACGTTGTGCTAATTGTTGGGCTAGCACCACTCGTGCTGCTATCATTGTGGTCGTTATCAGTGAATGTCACGTATGAAGATGACGGTCCCGGTTCTGGACAATCCGAAGACGACGGGCAGTAGGAAAATCTAAATGTTATTCGATCAACGACTGCACTAAAACAAGACTTCTGTTTCCTTTCAAAAAAACCCTTGTTCCTTACAGCGGGTAAGCAATTATATTGAGCTAGGTACTGTCACCTAGGATGGTTCCAAGATTGAAACACCTCCTCAGAGGTTGATAGCGCATGGGAGGCAGGGGGGTCGTATTTTCGGTCGTTGGAAGGAAAGGCGGCGTCACTTAGCCTGGAAAGTTTTTTGATAGCCGACTTTCGATGGAGGAATCCTACTTCCTTGTCGCTCCAAGGGGGGAGAATTCAGTGGCACCCCCGCCCCCTTCTGAACAGAACAGTTGTTTTTTTTGGAGAAAGGAACAGAAGGAAACGGAAGAACTGGTTTAGAAGGCGAAGAAGACTAGTCGTATGGTCAGACGAGGAAATTAAAGGGTTTGGGGAGGGAGGCTCGTATTCGTATGTAAAAACTCCCCAGGCAGAACGTGGCCCAGAGAACGCTAAGAAAAAAAAAAGAGCGAACTCATCCCTGTACCCTCTGTGATGGGTTGGTAGCCGGGTATGTGTAGTAGCATGGGAGTTATCTGCCTCACACAGCAATTAGAGCTGATGTAGAAAATAAGGACGCCCACGTTTTTATAGTAGCCTGGTACCGATCAAATGCCTGAAATGGATGGAAAGCAAGCCCAAACGAGCCCTCGATCAGCAGTGGATAGAGAGCAGGCTCAAACAGCCTTCTGTCAAAACTCTACAATTTCGGTTCGAATTTCGCTTGAAACCTTACTCATTATGTCCATCTCCTGCTCATTGAGCAGCCCATGAGGACAGAGGAACAGGGTGCTGGTCTGAGGCAAACGGACCAATCAATGTCCAGTGTTTTTTATCAAGTCCCATGTATCATTCACTTTCCTTCTCTTTCTTGCTAAGCGAGATTCTGTTGAAGATCTAGCTCACGGTACCCGGGTTAACTTATTATTTCCCCGCCGAACATTGATTGAATAAACAGCGATCTGGAAATAATTTACTCGAAATAACAATGAGACATACTGTATGCCAGTGATTCCAAACTTTCTCTTTTTGGAGTGACAAGAAGTTGAAGACTGGACAGGACTGATGGCTCCGTCGGAGTTGATCGTGAAGTCTCCAACGACATCTATTTCATCACTACCGTCTGTTTCCATTCCGCGTCTATGTTTGCACTTGAATTTACTCTGAAACGTGGAAAACAGAAAAAACAGAAAAAACCATAGCAACTGAATATTATGCTGTCCCGGAGCCTCACTGGAATTTGAATGTAAAAACAAATAGATACCTAAATCGTTTGCGGCAAAAAAAAACTCCAAAGATTCAGAAGAATCCAGGAATTTTCGCGGAAAATTTCACATCCACCCCCACACCTCCATCGGATAATTCGGTGCTTAGCACCTTCCTCAGCTCTGAAATACTGCAGTAAGCCGCATCCAATTGACCTGGAACCTGCATCCGCCGGTGTGTTGTAGCTGAGGGAGCGCTCTCGAGCACCCCTGCGGTAGGACAGCTACAACACACAACTGTAGGAACCTTACTGGAACCTTAGGAACCTTACATTATTTTGTATCTCTGAGAAAGGTGATAAGCATAGAGATA